CAAGGTAGAAGACTTGGCTTCAGCCCCATTTCTCTTACATATGTTTAAAGTCTTGACTGTTCTGTTGACATACAACACATACACAGTTCAGTAGTTGAAGCAGACTCAAAAGAGTGGTACAGTCCTTCCATAATCAACTTCAGAACATTCCTTCTGCCATGTGCTCGCTGAAAGCGCGAGGCCGTGATCCCGACTCGGGAGCAGAGTGCCAGGCATTGCTTGCACAGAGCTGCCACTGCACAGGTTCAAGCCCACCAGCCTTTTGATTCGGAGCTGAGTGCTTAGCCATTGCCACACCAGGGCTCATGATGTATCAGCAAAACCTGAACTCTGCCATTGAGGCAACTCCAACTCACAGTGACCCTCTCGGACAGGATAGCACTTCCCTGGTGAGTTTCCGAGACTACCTGTGGGAGCAGAAAGCCTCATCCTTCTCCCTTGGAGCAGCAGGTGGCTTCAAACTGCTGACCTTGACAGCAGCCAACGTGGAACCCCTCCGTGTATCGTTACTGGTTCATTCGTGATAGCCGATGTAGCATAGCCATGTGAGATATTAGAGGAAACCTGGGACAGGCCTGGGGACTCTACTAGGATCATCTAAAATCCCTCTGAAAATGGCCCACTGGGGTGACAAGCTGTCTAGCCCGAGCCCTTGCCTTCTGACTCAGTAGGTCTGGACCTCAACCCACAAATCTACATGTGAGCAAGTTCTCCTTAAAGGAGAGCCTTAAGAGTCAGGGTCCCACAAGATGCCAACTAGGAACGCAGTCCCTTCTGGGCTTCAGGACTAATGGTGCTGGCTCTTTGAGAAGCCATCTGGTGGGGGAGGAGTCAGACCCCCCCTGGACATGTCAGTGCTCTCCAGAGCACTGTTGTCTGGTGGTGGACTGACGAGAAAGGTGCCCAGAGGACAGAGCAGGCCCATTACTCCTCTCCATTGAAACAGCGGAACCAGCCTGCTCCGGGCTGATGGGGGCAGGTGGGATCCTGTGGCTTCTAAGTGCCCCTCTAGGAGCTCTTTGGTGGGTGAGGGGCCGGAGCTGCTCATAGCATCCCCTGGTGCCAGGCTGGGTGGGCAGGACCTGGGCAATCTAGCTGTTCCACGCCAGGACCTTGACCAAGCAACTCCCCTTCCTGTTCCCAAAGAAGAATTCAAACTTATTTGATTGCACTGTGCAAAAAAGTGTATCTGAGTCCCATTTTAGAACTTGA